TTTCCACTGCCCTGTATCCCCCTCACCTTAGCCAAGCCCTCCTTGTCGGCCAGCTTCGTTCCCAAGGCCGCTCGTTCTCCCTCCCTGAAAGCTGCTCTGTGATGAACCCCATGCGTGTCAGCTGAGCCCTGGCTTCCCTGTCCTCTCAGCCCAAGCCCAGGGAGTGTTCTACTTCCTGGGGCTGTTGATTGGCCTCCAGGGCAGCCCTGGGCAAAGGATCAATCTCTGTATTCTGAGAGCAGACTGCCTCTGTCTCCCCTGTTCTTCAAGAAAGTTGGATATATTGCCTGTTTCCCAAGCTACTACATAGTAGTATTTCTTCCATGCCTACAGCTCCCAAGTACATCAAGATGTTTGTACTGGACGAAGCTGATGAAATGTTAAGCCGTGGATTCAAGGACCAGATCTATGACATCTTCCAGAAGCTCAACAGCAACACCCAGGTGAGAAAGGCCGTGCTAGAGGAGCTGCCGGGAGAGCCCTTGCGTCTCGCACCTTCTGTGGGACTGGGGACGGGGCGGGCGTCCTGCAGCATCGCCTACCCTGAGGCTGGTCTGTGTTTCACCAGGTGGTTTTGTTGTCAGCTACAATGCCTTCCGATGTGCTCGAGGTGACCAAGAAGTTCATGAGGGACCCCATCCGGATTCTTGTCAAGAAGGAGGAGCTGACGCTGGAGGGTATCCGCCAGTTCTACATCAACGTGGAACGCGAGGTGGGGCCTGGGTGCAGGAGGCGGGCCTGGGTGGGGACCTGTTGAGTATAGCCCCTGACTGACTATTCGCCCCAACCTCCAGGAGTGGAAGCTGGACACACTATGTGACTTGTACGAAACCCTGACCATAACCCAGGCTGTCATCTTCATCAACACTCGAAGGAAGGTCGATTGGCTCACTGAGAAGATGCACGCCCGGGACTTCACCGTCTCTGCCATGGTGAGCATCCTCGCACGCCAGCCTGTGTGAGCCCAGCTCCCCTGTGCTCATCTCGATCGCTAACCTTCGGTTTTCTCCCTTAGCACGGAGATATGGACCAAAAGGAGCGAGATGTGATCATGAGGGAGTTCCGCTCTGGCTCTAGCCGAGTACTGATTACCACTGACCTGCTGGTGAGTAGGGGGATTTCCAGCGCTGGAAGGCAGAAGAATCCAAGGTGATTCCCTCTCCCAGGGGCCCGACTAGTGCCTCTCTCAGGAAAGTAGCAACTTGGAAGAAAATCTGGCATGCCCAAGGGCTCTCAGAGCAAGGGGCCGCTTGCTTCCTTTGCCTGCCTTGGGCTGCCTACATGCACTCACTGAGCCCCTTCCGGATGGACTGTGTGCACTGAATTCTTCTCTGTCTCCACATAGGCCAGAGGCATTGATGTACAGCAAGTTTCTTTAGTCATCAACTATGACCTTCCCACCAACAGGGAAAACTATATTCACAGGTGAGTGTGGGTCTGGACCTCCTGCCTAGCCCCCTGCATCCTGGGCGGAAGTTTTGGACATCCCTCAATGCTTGCAATGTATCCTCGTGTTTCAGAATTGGCCGTGGTGGACGCTTTGGCCGTAAGGGTGTGGCTATTAACATGGTGACAGAAGAAGATAAGCGGACTCTCCGAGACATCGAGACCTTCTACAACACCTCCATTGAGGAGATGCCCCTCAATGTTGCTGACCTCATCTGAGAGGGGCTGTCCTGCCACCTAGCCCCAGCTGGGGTTCAGTCCTCAGGGGCTGAGGAGCAGCAGGAGGGGGGAGGGGAGGGAGCCAAGGGATGGACATCTTGTCATTTTTTTCTTTTTTTTTTCTTTGAATAAATGTCACTTTTTGAGGCAAAAGAAGGAACCGTGACCATTTTAGAAACCCTTTTCTTTGGGGTAGGCTCTTGCCCCAGGCGCCGTCTCCTCCCAAAAAACAAAACAAAAAACACTAATCCATTTCCCTAACCTAGTCACCTCCAGGTCCCAGAGGCTCTCCCACCCCAGCTGAATCCCTCCGAACTTGATTCAGGGGCCGAAAACAAGTCACTCAACCTCATGTGCCGGACCAAACATGCAAGGAGCAGCCCCTAGTGAGGTTGCCCAGTGATTGAACCCAGCTGGGGGAGCAGGGGAGAGAAAGTGGTAGCCATTTTTACATTGTTTTGTATAGTATTTATTGATTCAGGAAGCAAACACGAAATTCTGAATAAAATGACTTGGAAACTGCCTGTTGGGCTTCTCATTTCTTCCTTCCCTCCTACCTGCTACTGGGTATGTCAGCTACCTTAACTACCTAGAAGTTACCAGAAGAAGCCATTTTCTAGGTCCAGAAAGTTGTAATAGGATAATAGGAGCCACTGAGGGCTTGGGTGTGTGCTGTCATAAGTGGTCACATGTCTCGCTAGGAGGAAGTCATGAAGCATGGTGTGTGGAAAGGGGCTGGCCAGAGGAGGGGCCTGCTGGCTATAGGGGCTGGTTAGAACCACTGGCCCTAACTGCCTAGTGAGGTTTGCTAAGGGTGACAAACGGGCCCCACCAATCAACTGCCTCACGGCTCCATCATTCTGTAGTCATGGGACAGCCTTGACTTTGGCCCTGACACCTCCCACTCGTGAGCTGGGGCCAATAGTCCCCTAACAAATGACTAGTGACTAAGAGATTGGTGGCTGGAGCCCGTGGTGCTTGAGTCAGCCTGGGGGTGGGATCATCTGTTGCAGGAAGTAAGAGACTTTCATTTCCTTTCCCAAGAGAGGGAAGAGGGAAGAGGGCTGAGCAACTGGTGTCCAGTTGAGAGTCGGCATTAGGTGAGGTGGATCTGCCATGAGGCTGCCTGTGCTTTTCCTGGCCTTGCTGGGGCTACACGCAGGTAAGAAGGGGGCACGGAGGGGGAACTTGAGGAAGCTAGCCCTTTCTGGGTCGCTGACCAGCTTCTTTGTTCCCTCTGCTGAAAGCCCAGGGGACATGGCCTTGGCCTCACAAGAAGGCAGCCACTCTGCTGCCATCCTTCACGGCGACACCTACAGCCACAGAAAGCACAGCGAGCTCTGGAACAACCAGCCACAGGACTACCAAGAACCCCCACACCACCAGTCACAGCACTGCCACCCCAGGCACCACCAGCCACAGACCTACAACTGCCACTCCTACCACTGGCCACGGAAATGTCACGGTTCATCCCACGACCAGCAACACCACCAGCAACACCACCACCACCACCGGGACCAGCCCTGGATTCTCCACCAGCACCCCCCACCCAGGACCACCTCCACCCCCTCCAAGTCCTAGCCCAGGCTCCAGAGAAGCGGTTGGGAACTACACGTGGACTAACGGCTCGCAGCCCTGCGTCCAACTCCAAGCCCAGATTCAGATCCGAGTTCTGTACCCAACCCAGGGCGGCGGACAGGTAAAGCTGAAAGGGGAGGCGGGCGGACAAGGGGAAGGTGGCCCGTCCTGCCTTGATTGAAGGGGAAGAGGAAGAGGAGAGAGGACAAAAACAGGCTGGGGATGGAGAAAACAGGGAACCTCGAGGAGCAAAGTCATGTAGTCTCATGACCCCCGCGTTATTTAACTTCCACAGGCATGGGGCATGTCTGTGCTGAACCCCAACAGAACCAAGGCCCAGGGGGGCTGTGAGGGTCCCCGTCCCCACCTGCTCCTCTCCTTCCCCTATGGACAGCTCAGCTTTGGATTCAAGCAGGTATGGCTTCACGACCTTGCCTTCCTCCTCCACTTGCCCTCGCTGCACCCCTTCCTTGGTAGGCATGGGAGGCCACACCTTCCTGTTCACCTTGCAGGACCCAGGGCAGGGCCAGAGCGCGGTCTACCTGAGCTACCTGGCTGTGGAGTACAACGTGTCCTTCCCCCAGGCAGCACGTGAGCAGCTCCTCCCCCTTCTCACCCTAGCACTGAGGGGGCAGAGCCGGGGCTGGGGCGGTGGGTAGCCACTGACCCCCGCCCCCCACCCCTCACCCCTTCAGGGTGGACATTCTCGGCCCAGAATGCGTCCCTTCGAGATCTCCAAGCACCGCTGGGGCAGAGCTTCAGCTGCAGAAACGCCAGCATCGCTGTTTCCCCAGCTCTCCACCTCGACCTGCTCTCGCTGAGGGTCCAGGCTGCTCAGCTGCCCCGCACCGGGATCTTCGGGCCGAGTAAGACCTACCTCCTGCTTGTCTCCGAAAATCTCCCGCTGCGCCCAGAGTCCCTGCCCCCTGCCCACGAGCCAGTCCCCTCCCTTCTTAATCCATTTGAAGCCCCGTGCATTTACTGCTCCATGTACGCCTGTACAGGTGTCCTATCTAGGACCAAGCTTCCTCCCTCCACTGCTCATCGAGGCTGTAGGGCAGCTGCCCTCGCGGGCCCACTTGGTGCTTTTCCTTAATGCTCTCCCAGCTCCTAGGAATTGGAGTCCCCTGCCCCCCTCGGGAGCCATGCTGACCGCCCTGTCTTTCTGCCAGGCTTCTCCTGCCCCGCGGACCACCCGTCCATCTTGGTGCCCCTCATCATCGGCCTGATCCTCGTCGGCCTCCTCGCTCTGGTGCTCGTGGCCTTCTGCATCGCCCGGAGACGCCCGTCGGCCTACCAGGCCCTCTGAACACCGGCCCGGCCCCCAGGGCACCAGCCCTGTGCCCCACCAGGCAACTGACTCGAGGGCAGGGAGGAACAGAAACGGGGACTGTGCAGTCGGGAGGGAGGAGAGAGTTTTATTACACGTGACACCCCCAGCCCCCAGGAGAAGAGCAGTGAAAACTCGGATCTTCGTCCTGGGTTCCCCCTGTGCTGACAGGATTAAAAGCCATGAGTTTCTTGTCACATGCCTGTCTGTGCCAACCCCGGCTGAGTCACAGAGCCACACAGGGCTGAACGGCATCTGGGACCCAACGCCCTGCGCTCTCTGGCTCGCCCCCTGAAGGCCCGACACAGTCCATGCTGAATCGGCCAGGCCTCCCCTCCTTCCTCTTCTGGGGCGCACTGGCTGGTCCAGGCCGCTGTCCCACCCTCCTCCACCCCCGCAGCCTCTGACCAGCCCCAGGTAGTTCCAGGCACGGCACTGAGGGCGGTGATGGAGTTTCATCTCCAGGCGGAGCACCAGGGGCTGCCCGCTGCGCCCAGCGCTGGCGGGAGAGCCCCATGAAACCGCTGTTAGACCTGGGAGGCTCGCGCCGCACCTGCCGCGGGCTGGCTGCATCCGCCGCAGCTCTGGGCACCTCCACGCACTTCCCCTCCACGTTCCTGGCTAAACGGATGTCCCTAGTCTGGGCCACCAGTACAGGGGGACGGGGAGGCGGGCAACAGTGTCACCTGCAGAGCAGCCGATGTCCGGCTAACAAACACCTGCCACTGGGCTCCCACCTGCGCCTCTGAGTGCCAGTCGTTCTCTCTTCAGTAGGCCGTGGCACGCCGTGGCCCCGCTGCTGGGGGCCTGGACAGGCGCCCCTGTTTCTGCAGGAACCCCACGAGCTGAAAGGCTGCAGCACGAGGCCGCACCGCGGGCCGGGCCGGGTCGGGGGGCCGTTCCCAGGTGGTGCTGTTGGGCCCACTCGGCACGTGGTGCGGGGCTGGAGCAGTCCCTGCACCCCACCTAGTGTCTCCGGGGCTACCCACCCCGACTTGTTGTCTTGCGTCGTCACCGGGCCACTGCAGTTCTGGCGCGCCCATCCTCCAAGGCCTCGGCCAAACAGGCGGCAGAAGCATGGGGCCTTGAGCGCAACCAGCCCCGGGCCTAAGGAGACCTCCCAGAGGCCTGGTTCCCTCTAGAGAGGCCAAAAGAACGGAAGACACACAGCTACAGCGCCCCCGCCCAACGCCATTTTGGAGACTCAAACACCCTCTCTCAACTTGGAACAATACGCGTGTAAAGTTGGCAAAGAGGAGACAAGATGGCGCCTAGCGGGAGGAGCGGAGAAAGGCAGGGGACTAAATGTTGCTTCCGAAGTGCGAGCGCAAACAAAAGCGCGAAAGATCTGACTGCGCAAGCGTGCACTTCTGACACGCTTTAAAATCCAAACAGCCGGGCGCCTCCAAAGCGCGGTCTCCGGCCGTGACCTATTTCACGCTCCTGAAGCGAGGGTGGCGTAAGAAACGGCGAGGAACGAGGGGCGGTGCAACTTAGTCGTCGCGAGAAAAGAAAGGAAGGCAGAGTGCTCGGAGCGCGCATGCGCACCGTCAGTCAATGACGGCTTGAGAGAGACTGGCGGAAGCTCGCTTTCCAACATGGCGTCGGAGGCAGAAGGACTGCTCAAACGGCTACTGGTGCCGATTCTTTTACCTGAGAAATGCTACGACCGACTTTTCCTTCAGTGGGACTTGCTTCATGGTGAGTTTTATTCAGCATTCAGTAAAGCCCTGCTCGAGCGACTGTGGACGACGGTGGGGCGACTAGAGACGAGGTGGCGGCTGCGGCGGCCCGGCTGCGCGGAGCGGAAGACGCTTCTGAGAGGGCGGAAATGTCTCGGGCTCCGAAAAAAGGGGTCCCCATATTTGGGCAAGGGGAGGGGGGAGTAGCCCGGCAGACGTGCGCTTTAGCAACAGTGAAAGTCCAAAAGGCTCAAATTTACAAAACAATGCAAATCGGACCAAAGCATTCTAACGTCTGTAAGGTCGCCAGCAGAGCTAAGCTTAGTTGAAAGCCTTCCCAAAGGCCACTGACGCCCGAATTGCTCATTCGGCCTCCACGTTTGCTCGTGATCTAATTTTGGTAAAGTTCGCCTCCCGTCCCGTGTAAGAGGCAGCTCCACAGCAGGGTTCCCTCAGGACTTTCGCCCCTTGGCGATGCCGCCGCGGTCTTCCGTCCCCTGTGCGCACGGAACGCTTGGGTGCACCTGTCAGCCTGACGCCCTAGCTCTAGGGGAAGGCCTCAAGGCTGGAGAAGTTGTGGGTTGCCAAGGCCAAGGGGCAGGCACAGGTGCAGCAGGTTTGGGACGCCCGCATCCCATATCCGTGCCTGGGATTAAGTCCCGCCCCCGCTTCCAACCCCACGTGGGAGGCAGCAGGTGCTGGCTCAAGTCCTTGGCCCCGCCACCCAAGTTGGCGACCCAGATTGAGTTTCAGGCACCTAATTAAAGCCTGGTCCAGCCCTGGTGGTTTGGTGAGTGGGACCAGCAGGTGGGAGGTCTCCTCTCCCTCCCTCCCTCCTTCCTTCACTGCCTTTCAGATAAAATATTTATTTACTTGAAAGAGTTACAGAGAGAGGTCTTTCATCCACTGGTTCACTCCCCAGATGGCCACAACGGCCAGAGCTGCACAGGAGCCAGGAGCTTCTTCCAGGTCTCCCACGCGGGTGCAGGGGCCCAAGGATTTGGGCTGTGCTCTGCTGCTTTCCCAGGCCACAGCAGGGGGCTGGATGGGAAGTGGAGCAGCCGGGACTCCAACTGGCACCCATATAGGATGCCAGCACTGTAGGCTCTAACCCGCTGCACCGCCGCACTGGCCCCATAAATAAATCTTTTTTTTTTTTTTTTTTTTTTTTTTTTGACAGAGTGGACAGTGAGAGAGACAGAGAGAAAGGTCTTCCTTTGCCGTTGGTTCACCCTCCAATGGCCGCCGCGGCTGGCGCACCGCGCTGATCCGATGGCGGGAGCCAGGTGCTTCCTCCTGGTCTCCCATGGGGTGCAGGGCCCAAGCACCTGGGCCATCCTCCACTGCACTCCCGGGTCACAGCAGAGAGCTGGCCTGGAAGAGGGGCAACCAGGTCAGAATCCAGCGCCCCGGCCGGGACTAGAACCCGGTGTGCCAGCGCCGCAAGGCAGAGGATTAGCCTAGTGAGCCGTGGCGCCGGCCATAAATAAATCTTAAAAGCCAAATAAACATTGAGTTGAGTCTGGGCCAGGGACCTGGGCCAGTCAGAGTTGAGAAAGGAGCAACATGGAGACCTGCCCTTGGAGGGAAGATGTGCACACGGGGCCACCAGCAAGGGTCCCAGGGCACTCGGGCTCTCTCAGCTTTGTGAAGGGAGACCAGGGAAAGCTTGGAAGTTAGGCCTAGTTTAGAGGCCACTCGCTGACAGACACAAAGATCTCATTCACTCCCCAGGCGCCTGCATCAGCTGGGCCTGGCTGGGGCAACCTGAAGCTGGGAACCAGGGGCTCCGCCAGGTCTCCCACGTGGGTGGTGGGGACCCATCCGCTCAAGCCAGAAGCGGCCTCCCCTGCCACATGACGCACCCCTCCCGCTCACCTCTCTCTCCTCAGTGCCCTGCCTCAAGATTCTCCTCAGCAAGGGGCTGGGGCTGGGCATCGTGGCCGGCTCACTTCTAGGTAGGTGGGGTGTCGTCCCTCCTCTCCTGTCGCTGGGCGGGTGGAGGGACTGAGAGGCTGGGCTGGCCGGCCCGGCAGGAAGCGGGCGCTGCACCCCCAGTGCTCCCGGCGCTGCTGTCCTCAGCCCTGCTCGTCTTCCCCCACCCAGTGAAGCTCCCCCAGGTGTTGAAACTCCTGGGGGCCAAGAGTGCCGAAGGCCTGAGCCTCCAGTCCGTGGTGCTGGACCTCGTGGCACTGACGGGCACCGTGGTCTACAGCATCACCAACAGCTTCCCATTCAGGTGAGGGCCCCAAGGGAACATGGCCCCCACTCTGCTGGGGGTCACGGGGAGGGAGGCAAAGGCGCAGGAGAGCTTAACCCTCTTAGAGGTGAGGATCCAGGAGCGCCGAGGACGGCTCGGGTGGGCGTGGAGGGCGGCGGCCCTGGAGGCACAGCTCTGGAGGCTTGCCCTGCCTCTTTCCAGGCCTGCCTTTTTTCCTCCCAACTCTTGACTCTGCAGCTCTTGGGGTGAAGCCCTGTTTCTGATGCTCCAGACGCTCACCATCTGCTTCCTGGTCATGCACTACAGAGGACACACTGCGAAAGGTGCTGGGGACTTAGCCAGGAGCGGCTGCGGCTCTTGGGAACCCTGATGGGACTCGGGCCGGGGGGAGTGGGACACATGGAGAGGTTGCGAGGCCTGCTTGTCTCCTTGACCCCTAGGCACGGCTTTCCTCGCCTGCTACGCCCTCATCCTGCTGGTGCTGCTCTCGCCGCTGACGCCCACGGCTGTGGTCACCCTGCTGCAGGCCTCCAACGTGCCCGCTGTGGTGGTGGGGAAGGTAGGTACTGGAACAACGGAGAGGATGGGGGGCAACATCAAGGGACAGAGTGCCCGTGCAGGAGCATCAGACTGAGGGGGGACCAGCGATGGGACACGGGAAAAGTTGAGATGCCAGAACCAAAGGTGACCGCTCCTGCCCTAGCTACTCCAGGCAGCCACCAACTACCACAATGGGCACACAGGCCAGCTCTCGGCGGTCACCGTCTTCCTGCTCTTCGGGGGCTCCCTGACCCGGATCTTCACTTCCATTCAGGTGAGTGCACCTTTCCCCCTCTAGAGGGCGCTGTCTCCCAGCTGAGGGCTGCACCTGGTGCCCTCTCTGGAACCTTTGTCTCCAGGGGATTGGTTTTGGGGCTGCACTGCAGCCTGACCTTAGGTGCCTTTTACAACCAGGAAACTGGAGACTACCTCATGGCTGGCGTCTTTGTGGTCTCCTCTCTCTGCAATGGCCTCATCGCTGCGCAGGTCCTCTTCTACTGGAATGCACAGGCTCCCCAAGAGCAGAAGAAGGAGCGGTAGGGCCGAAACAGCCGCCGAGTGCTTGCGTGTTTCCATTCATCCACCCGGCCTCTGGGTGCTCCCGCCCAAGCCAGGCTGCTGGTGGGAGTTGCAGTTCTAATCTCTCCATTCCTTGGGCCAGGGTTTCGGTGGACGTGGAAATTGGGGGACCCAGATCCTTAGTAAGGATGGGGTCATCTTCCAAGCTGATCTTTGGACATTAAAATCAGTGACTTCCAGTTCTCCCTCCTCTGGGCCAGTGTCCTGCCCTGCCCTCCGCACTTCCCTGCTGGCTCCAGAGGACGAGCTGAGGGGAGGGACTTGGGGCTGCCTCTGCCCTGGACCCCAGTGCTGCGTGTGGGGGAAGGGGACAGAATGACTCAGGCAGGGTGGGGTGCAGTGGCTCCTGCTCCGGCAGGTCCAGAGGAAGGGAGTGGAGCTGGTGCAGGCTCCTGCTGGAGTGAGGAGGGCGCAGATGGGGCAATAAAGACAGACGTGGCTCGGTTGTACAAAATGAGTTTTATCCTGTGTGTTGTGAGCGGGCCGGCTGCAGGCAGCCTCTGAGCTGTGGTCCAACACTAGAGGGGGTGCAGCTTGTGCGTGGGGGTGGCTCTGAGGGAAAAGGGGGACACGAGGCCCGTGTCCGTGGGAGTTAGAGGTGTGCCAGGGGCATGGGGGCGCCTGCAAGTGGAGAGTTGTATGGATTGGGGGAGCCTGGGGGCAGGTAGGGGCTGTAGGAGGGAAGCAGCTCCGCCTGGAGTCTGGGGTCGCTCTGAGGGACGGAGCATGGCACGGGCGCCTCTGGTTTATAGTGGGAAGAGCTGCAAAGGGAAACGGGGAGGGGGGGTTAGAGGCTGCTTTCTGTGTTGGTGTCACCAGCTGAATGCTGGGATGGGTCAGACCAAATCTGGGCGGACAGGGGTACAACTTGCCCCCCACCCGGCGCGCTTGGAAGCACAGCCAGATGGCTTGGAGAGCAGTGCGGCCCTGTTGGGACACGCTGCAGCCCCGGCTTGCGTGCTGTGCGGCTGTTTCCCTCTTTCAGGGCAGCAGGCCAGGAAGGGGCATAATGTGCTTGGCCTCGCCTTACCCCGGGGGCTGGGAGAGGAAGCTGGGTCACACATGGGCCAGAAGCAGGGCGAAGTGAGGATCCCAGCAACTAGAAGAGTTTCACAGCTAGGGGTCCGTCTCTGCACCTGCGGGGCGGCCACTCTGGTAAAAGCTGAACCACTGTAACCCACCCCACCTTGCAGGGCCCCTGGGCCGGGCTCAGGTTCTCCTTCAGCCAGTTTCCACCCACCCGCTACCCAGGCTCCCGGCCCCACCCAAGCGTCTGCTTCCTCGGCACTCACCTGTAGTTGGCAGGCAGATAGGCTGTCGGGTAGTTGGGGGGCTGGTACCCGAAGCCTCTGCTGCCTTGGGTGGCCGCGTATCCTGGCCCCCAGAGCAGGCCGCCGCTTCCCTGGCTGGCGTTGGCAGGTCCGACGCCCGAGTTCTTGGTCTTGCGCCGAGGCCGGTACTTGTAATCGGGGTAGTCGCGCAGGTGCCGGGCGCGGAGCCGCTTGGCCTCCTCCACGAAGGGCCGCTTCTCTTCCTCGCCCAGCTGCTTCCACTGCGCGCCCAGGCGCTTGGAGATCTCAGAGTTGTGCATCTTTGGGTTCTGCTGCGCCATCTGGCGGCGCTGAGCGGAGCTCCACACCATGAATGCGTTCATGGGCCGCTTCACCTTTTCCTGGGGGAGCCCCCCGGAGACCACCGGGTTGCCAGCTCGCTCTGGCTCCTGGGATCCCCAAGAGGCGTTAGCTGCCGCGGGAGTGGGGGGCTCCAGGCTCCAGGCCTGGGTCTGCGAGGAGCCAGGTAGCGCCATGGGGGGGGAGCCTTAAGTGGGCGTCCCAAAGGCCGTCCCCTGTAAGTGAAGCGGCGATCCTTAAATGTCTCTCTCCAGGCTGAGTCGTCGCAGAGAACAAAACTGAGGTCCTTAACAATGTAGGTCACCCCCAAGTCCACAGTTCAAGTGGGGTCTTGAACCAATCCGGTGCACTGGGGAGAGCCGAATGCCGGTCTGCTGGCTGGTACCCGTGGCCTGGAGAGGTATTCTCCTTGTGGCCTTGAGGTTCCCAGCCCTGCCTCTGTTCCCCCTACCCGCTGCTGCGACCTGACAAACCTGTGAGGCAGTAAACGCTGCTCTGTGGCTCTCGAGTTCCCGCCGCTGCCTGGCGCCCTGGTGCCACAGGCCTCTCCCACCCGGGCTCAGTGTCTGTGGCTGGCAGGCTAGACCCAGGAACAGCTTTTAAAGACTGGCTCCTCCCCAGTCCCTCCCAAAGCCAGCGCCTCCTTCAGGGCTCCAACACCCCCCTCTCCCTTAGGCAAACCCAGGTGTCCTGTTCCTCCCAGCCCCCACCACTTCCCGCAGGCCACCACGCCCCCTCCCCACCCAAGGCCTCGGCAGGCCCTGCAGCCCCAGTCCTGATGGTTTCCCCTCCCTTCTTAAGCATTGGCAATTCAAGTCGATTATCTTCCACAATGAGATCAAGCACAGGCGGGTCAAACACCCTGAGGGTCAGAACTGGCTCAAAGGAACTTGCGAAGAGTCCACCCCCACCCCAACCCCTTTTCTGGTGCCAATTGCTCCTCAGACCCCTGACCTGCCCCTGGGGCCAGGAAGGCCGGCACAGGGAGGTTGGCCATTTTTGTTTCCTGAGTCATTCCAGCAGGTGCTTGGGCGATGATTCAGCCCTTCTCCAGGTGAGAAAACTTAAGCCCTCCTCCCACCTCTAGCCCCCAGACCTGGATTTCTCCACAGCTGTTTAATGATTGCAATTTTATCTTCAAGCTCAAGTGTGAAGGAGGGAACTGGGAAACCCGGGATGGTGGAGCCAGAGCAGACCACCAGGAAAGTGGGCTGGACTCCTGGGTTCCAGGGGCTATTGGGAAGAAACCCTGCTCCCCCATTCGCCCAAGCCCTGCCCAAGCCCCAGGCCTCAGGTAATCCGATTAAACAGCCTGCTTTGGCTCTCAACTGTTAGTAGAATGGTTCCAGCTCCCAGCGGCCCTGCCTAGCTTGTGTGGTGACTCAGGGTATAGGAGTGGCCCGGCTCCCTCTACCAGCAAACTGGGGGAAGGGGGCAGCAGCAAGAACAGGCCACTTCCTAGGGACCAGGAGGGCACCTGCACCAGAAGCAGTTGGGAATGTCAGGAATTCCCACAAGACCACCTTTGAGAGGGGGAAGCCAACTACAGAAGAACAGGGCAGAGGGCAAGGGCCACACAGATCAGTTCTAGAGAAACAAACCCCCGGGACAAGGAAAGCACAGGAACTACAAAGCCATTTGGATTTTTTTATTCTCTTTTTAAATACTGTACAGTGAAAAATAAATACGCCTTCTCATCCACCAGACAAGGTTGATCCCCCTCCCCCAGGGGCCCTTGTCACCCCCTCCGCACACCCCTGGTTCTACTCCAAAACCTTCCCCATGCCTCCCACCCACTTACACCCTTACTATCCCCGTCTTCCACAGTGATGAGGCCCCAGAAATGGGGGGTACAGGATGGGAGGAGGGATAGCAGGGGAGCCCCCCTGAACTGTCAAATCTGGGTGGGTCAAGGAGCACCCCCACCAACAGGTGGAGAATGGGGGTGTTCTGAGAAAGATTGGGGCATTAGAGGATAAAGGCACATCCAGTCTGATGGGGAAGGAGAGAGGCTCCCCTCACCCTGGGTAGGGTGGATAAGAGGGAGGGGGGATGACCCTGTTACGCACCCCTCCACTAGCTCCTGGAGGTTGAGGGGGGACCCAAGCTGCTGTGCCACCCCCCTCCCCCCTAGATAAGAGCAGCTCCAGCGCAGGTCAGTTGGGCCTGTGAGGGCCTGGTGTTGGGCAGCAAGCGAGATGGAGGAGGGATGGATGCGGGCTGGAGGGTTTATGAAACCCCATTCACCAAACTACCCAACTCCAGGGGGGCAGAGAGCTCCCCATTCTCCGAGGGGCCCTTAGGAAGCTTGCTGACAGAGTCACCCTGAGGAGGAAGTGGAAAAAGAGAAAAGCCAGTGGTGAGTAGATCTGCCACATGCCATTTCCTGCCTCCTAAGCTCTCCCTGCACCTGGTGACCCACGGTAGGCTCCCTGGTTTCATGCTCTAGTCACACTGGGACCTGCAGTAGCGAGGCGGCCTTGCCTCCCTGGTCTACTCAAATCTCTGTAGTCCCACGACAGCCTCTCATTCAGTACAATTTCTTTGGGCTTTTTTTTTTTATGTCGCCTGCCTACCTTCTGTCCCGAAACAGAGTCCTCTGAGGGTTTAGTGCGTTCCAGGGGTGGCCGCTGGCGGCTCTGAGACTCTGCTCGTGAGATATAGTCAGCCACAGTCACTGGGGAAGGCAAAGGAGCAAGTTTCAAAAGCAACTCGGACATCTAGCCCTGAGACACCCACTGAACCCCAAACCCAGGTTCTCGCAGGGTAGGAGGGCCTCGCGGCAGCTGACCTGGCTGACGGTCTCCACTGATAGAACCATCAGTCCGGTTACCACGGTTACGGCGACGGCGGCTGCGATTACGCCGCTGGGGTCTTGATTCATCTTCTGCAGGGCAGAGACAAACAAGAGCCATGCACCCCATCTCCCACCCCTCAATTCTCAGTCACTGCTCAATTTTTCAGACCCTGGGCACAGTGCTCACCCAGGCCATTCTCTGTCATGTTGGGCCCATCAGACTCCAGGCCTCCATCCATGACAGTCCTGTCTTCGTCAGTGCGGCGGCGACGGGAGCGGCGGCGCCTGGCACTTGCTGGGGGAGGCTCCCCGGGCTCTGAATCAACTGGGGGCTCTGGTTCAGATGTGTCCAGCAGGCTGTAGGGGTTACTGTCTGGATCCTTCAGCACTGGTCAGAGAGAGGACAGGTCGGAGTCAGGGGGCCATCTTTCCTTTCAGCCCACATTCCTGAACCCAGCTGTCTGGTACCTGAGCTAATAGATGAAGAGCTGTATCTCGAGGTGGGCCGGGGGGCAGGAGGAGGTCCCCTACCCCGGCCTCCAACGGGCCGCCTCCGGCTCTCCTCTGCCCGCGTTGGGGGATCCCGGTCACCAGGCCCAGCTCGGCTGGGCTCCTCTCTCTTCTCTGACTCCGTCTCCGAAGCTGTGGACGGGTCTGAGCTGGGGCCTGAAGGGCACAGTGGGATGTATTCAGAGCCACTCACCGCCTCATCTCCATCCCAGTTTTCCCGAGGTTTCCATCAAGGAACCTGCTCTCACAGCTCTCACCATAGGCAGGACCGCCTGTCCTCCGGCCCCGACCCCGGCCCCCATAGCTGCCCCCGTAGGTTCGAGTCGTGTGGAGGGAAGAGGAGGAGCTCTCGTCAGTGGTATAGCCAGCCTTGTCACTGCTCCCACTGCCACGCCCGCTCCCAGGAGGACGAAAGCCCAGCCCAATCTGCCGCAGCTGTTCGTCAATTTGCAGCCTCTCCAAGCGAAGCTGCTCCACCTCCTGTTTTGGTAGAAAATGCAAGGAAACAGAGGAATGTGATCAGTGGACAGTCCCTTTCCTTTGTGTTTCTCCCTGTCTCTGTCTCTCTACTCTCAGGAATGCAAGGAAGTCACTGGCTGAACAGGCAGAATCCTGTGACCCGTCCCACAGCCCCACATTTCCACCTCCCATTCCCACTCTACAGAGGAACGAGCCGCACGCCACAGCTGCGGACTTTATCTGGCAGCAGTCTTGGCCCCTGCTCTGCCCAGCCCTTCCCTCCCCAGGTTTCAGACTCGTGTACCTGCAGGTAGGAGAGGTGATACTCCAGCAGGGCCTGGGCATTGCTGATATTTTCTCGAGTGCCAACAAATATGAAGGGAACCATCCCCTGAGAGCAGAGGGAAGGAAAGCTGATCAGGAAGAATAGTAGAACGCCACGTGCTAGCCCCATCCAGTCGCCAGGGGAACCCACCCAATGGCATCAGTCTAGCTCTAAAGTTACTAGAGCGGCTACAAAATTTCTGTGCATCCTCCCTGCCCCCAGAGTCTTAGCCCTCAGAGAACAAGCCCACCTACTTGTGGAAACCAACCTCTAGTCCTAGTTGGCCCATACCTCCTCCCTGGGGTTCTTCTTGTCATTGTCACCTTCCACTCGCACCCTCACCACACCAGACTTATCCACGATCTCCTGGATCACTTTCCCATTCTTTCCGATCACTTTGCCTAAATGGGTAAAGGAGGAATTAGGCCTTTTTTTTTTTTTTAAAGGTAAGGTCAAAACAGCCTCCCAGCCTCATCCTTCTCTCTCTGTACAGATTGCATTTCGTTAATTCTCCTGCTTCTAAGTTGTTGGTTAGGTTTTACAGAAAGGACGGATGTCTGACCCAACAGTAAACTGCTGCTGGGATGCCCATGTTCCCTACTGGGGCTCCTAGTTCGAGTCCCAGCTACTCAGTTTCCAATCCAGGTCCCTGCTAGTGCACACCCTGGGAGGCAGCAGATGATGGCTCATGCATACTTGGGTCCCTGCCTGCCACCCATGAGGGAGACCCCAGATGGAGTTCTGGGCTCCAGGCTTCGGCCTGACCTTGCCCTAGCTGTTACAGACATTTGGAGAGTGAACTAGTGGATGGAAAATGTAATGCCTTTTGGGGCCGGTGCCATGGCTCACTAGGCTAATCCTCCACCTGCGGTACTGGCATCCCATATGATCGCTGGGTTCTAGTCTTGGTTGCCCCTCTTCCAGTCCAGCTCTCTGCTGTGGCCCAGGAAGGCAGTGGAGGATGGCCCAAGTCCTTGGGCCCTGCACCCGCATGGGAGACCAGGAGGAAGCACCTGGCTCCTAGCTTCAGATCGGCGCAGCGCTGGCCATAGCGGCCATTTGGGGAGTGAACCAACAGAAGGAAGACCTTTCTGTCTATATCTCTAATTGTCAAATTAAAACAAAAAGAAAAAATGTAATTACCTTTCTACTAAAATGAAAGTAAAAAATTTTATCCCTAGAAATTTATTCTTCCTTTTTTTTTTTTTTTTTATTCCGACTACAGACTTTCTGTCCTTGTGAAATCAAGAGTTACCAATACCCACTACAAGCCCAGAGTCATTTAAGGAGACTCACAACTGGCCCCTAACTACTCTCTTTTATACACACACACCCAACTCACCAACCAGGTTCCTGGGCACTTGCACTGAATCTTCAGAAAACTCCAGGTAGCTCCGAGCCTGTCGGCATGCCTCTGGCGTCTAGGGGAAGAATGAAGTGGCGTCACTAAAACAGGACCTGGATCTCAAATAACGATCTTCCTGTCTTTGGGAAGATATGCTGCCAAGTTCAGCAAAGTCACATAGCTTAGGCTTATTTCCCACTCCCTTCCCTCTACCCACTACAGGATCTTGAAGACAGATCTTTTGCTGACCTCCC